ATCTATAGAATGAAACATAGTGGGACAACAGGAAGAGGAGACTGAGCAGTATACGAGGAATTCTAAAACCTGGTTAGTGCACACAGAAGGGTTTTAATTTAAATCCTTGCTTGTGCACCAATGTAGCTTAACCCCCTCCGTCCGGCAACTTAACGTCTGCAGTACTCCATGTTAGGAGACATTTTTAAAAATCCTATTTCTGCTTCCCAATCAAGGAAACAACATAATTGTCCACTTCCCAAATTCCTCCTCCTCCCAGCACCTAGCTTGGTTCTCTGTGGAAAGCGTGACTGTGGCCTGCCACGTCCTCTGTTAAAATTTGAGTTCTAAAAGGTCTAAATTGGCAGTTCCATTAAGAGAAGCTTGCTGATGATGTCGGCTCAGTGCCCACCTCAGGCTTCCCAGTCACTTAAGACAATTCCCTAAATCAAAGCTAGGATGCGTGATGTGCTTGGTAACTTTCCTGGGCGCTCTCTTAAGGAGAGCCACAGGTTGTCTGGCAGCCACGTCTCTGGGCAAAGGCAGGTACCTTGGTGCGGGCGAGCCGGCAGCCCACGGCAGAGACACCTGCTCCCGGCGCGGCCCCAGCACCTCCGCGGAAAGCGGCAGGCGGAGAACGCGCGCGCACACGCGCAGGGTCCCGGGCGAGGAGGGCGACGCGGCCGGGGAGAGGGGCTGGAGACCTGGGTTATGTAAGCCAGTGGAGCTAGGCAGGGGCTTCGCGTGGGCAGAGGCTCGGGCCGCCCAGGTGGGGCTGTTGCCCTGTGGGGTCCGGCCGCCCACGCAGCGCGGAGACGCGGCCCGGGCCTTGCGCCCGCCCCCGCCCGTGGTCGCCGCGGCTCGCAGCGCGCCGCCCCGAGACGCGCGCGGCTGGTAGCGAAGGCGGCAACCGCGCTCCCGCAGTCCTGGTCTGGGAAAGGAAGCACCCTTCCTCCTCTGTCTTCGCTGTGGGCCCGCGTCGTCGTAGCCCCGCCGTTATGAGCCCCGAGCCGGTCCCGCCGCCGCCGCCGCCCCAACGTCCCGGCTGTGACCGCGGGGAGCCGTTCGCCCAGCGGTTAGAGAAGGGCGACGAGGCCTTCCGCGAGGGCGAGTACGAGACGGCAGCCGAGATCTTCCGCTCCATGCTGGCCGGGCTGGCGCAGCCGGACCGCGGCCTGTGCCTGCGGCTGGGGGACGCGCTGGCCCGCGCTGGCCGCCTCCCCGAGGCCCTGGGCGCGTTCCGCGGCGCCGCGCGGCTCGGGGCGCTACGGCCGGAGGAGCTGGGGGAGCTGGCGGGCGGCCTGGCGCGCGCCGTCGGCCTGCGCGAGTGGCGGCTGTCCGCGGGGAAGCCGGGCTGCACGCCCGAGGCGCCGAGCGACGGGCATCCGGTCTCGGCGTCCGCTGCGCCCCGCGATCTGCTAGGCTGCCCGCGCTGCCGGCGGCTGCTGCACAAGCCGGTGACGCTGCCTTGCGGGCTCACGGTCTGCAAGCGCTGCGTGGAGCCGGGGCCGACGTGGCCGCAGCCGCGGCGAGTCAACGTGGTGCTGAGCGGCCTCCTGGAGAAGTGCTTCCCCGCCGAGTGCCGGCTGCGCAGGCTGGCGGGCCAGGCGCGGAGTCTGCAGCGCCAGCAGCAGCCCGAGACCGCGCTGCTCAGATGCGACCAGGCCCTGGACCTGGGTAAGTGGGTCGTGGGGGCGGGCTCGCCTACCCGCACACCTGTGGAGCCGAGCGGCCCGGTTGGGAGCTGACCCGTGGACCAAGGTTTTAGAGCGGTTTGTTCAGGCTTAGGCGTCATTTTGCTTTCTGAAGGGGGGAGCAGCCACAGCCTGCAGGCGGGGTGACCAGTGTCAGAAGTCAGGTGCACGCCACTGGTCCAGGACCCGGAATAGGCATAGTTTTCCGAGGCCTCCCTGAGCAGCTCTGTAAAGCCTTTCAGCCCCTTCTCAGCTGTTTAGGAGTGGGAGGGTAACAAAGTATTTTTTT